TATTATAAAGAGGTAAAATTTGTAAGTTTGTATGTAGGGGGTAATCTTTGGAACCACTGGTCAGATTGCCAAAATTCTTTCACTGATAGATAGCTACAATGTTCCTGAGTGCTTTAGGCTATAAAACATCACACTACGATCAAATGGAGCCGAGCAGCGGGTGGAACCACGCGAGAATAGCTAGTATACAATATTTTAGTATTGAACTAACACCGGTGCTTACTGATATATTCTATTTTATAAATAAATAATACTAATGATGACTTACTATAACAAATACATTCTTTAAGGTAATGAATCGTATTAATGACTACAGTTACCTTAACTATTTGTTAGCAGGTAAAATCGGTGTATTTATTCTAAGCTAAAATTATAAAATATTTATTTTGTACCAGGATAGATAAAGTAGATTCATACCTACTGTTATTTCTTTGCGAAAATAAATTTATTATAAGCATTATTTAGCTCATTAACACTTAATCTATATTTATTTTTTTACTTGCAAACAAAATATTTAAACCCGGTTTCCGAAAGGCCGATCAATGTTAAAATCAATTTAATCTCTTGTCAAGTCATCTGATTGGTTGACAGAATTATCAACAACCAATCAGATGACTTGACAAAGAATTTAACAGGAGATTAGTTAATTTTAGCGTTGACAAGCCTTTCAGAAACCGAGTGTTAGTCACGAATCACAAAGAGAATATAGAAAAAAAAAGAAACAAAATAATAAATAAAAAAATCTTTATTAGAATAAATAAAATATTAAAACAAAAAAAAGTTTTTGTAAAGTGTACAAGACTTACGATTTAATAAGCACGCAAACACAATTTATTTTAGAGCTTATTTTTCAATGGTTATATAAAAGTTATCTGCGGAATTATTATGATACTGTCGCGTCAGAATGTTTGTATAAGACAGTGACAGCGACAATTTTATTACTCAGATAACATTTATCTGACTATTGAAAAATTACCCCTAAAGGTAGTCGATAGATTTGTGGATAAAATTTCACTGACGAACAAAGTTGAACTTTGTGATATTTTTCATATTTGAAATAAATGATTTGACTTTTACTTCTTAATCCAAACTAATATTATAAATGCGAAAGTAACTCTGTCTGTCTCTCTTTTCTTCACGCCTAAACTACTGAACCTATTTGTGTGAAATTTGGTATAGACATAGTTTGGAACTCGAGAAAGGACATAGTATAGTTTTTTAACCAAAAATCTCCTCGAAATCCACACGGACAAAGTCGCGGACAAAAGCCAGTAGACAAAACAATTCTTTATATTTAATGGTTTTTAATCCAAAGGGCAGAGTAGCACATTTAGATTAAAAACATACTTTTATTCTGTATTTTTTTGTAAATGTTAAAGTGCCTTCACTTGAATGCCTTATTGTTATTCAATGTTATATGGATCTTTTAAACAATTCAATGTTTTTTTTTCAACAAATCTATCGAATACACATCTTTATGCTACATACAACGGTTCCTTATATAGTTATTTACAAGTAGAATTAACTTATGTTATACTTTGACTATACTAAAAAAATCTTCCATATACCAAACTGCCGATTTCCTTGAAAATATATAATTAAAAAACGGCAATTCAATAAGGAAAGACTTGAATATATTAGTAGCACACTCAACATACAAAAATATTGCTCTCGCTCCCCGGTCCTACGCTTATGTATAAATATATATATTTCTAGAATATTCCACAACACGAAAAAATACTACATGTAGGTACTAGTTATATAAGCTGTTGTCACAATATTCAAAAGGTAAAAATGCCTCCTATAGAAAAGCACTCGATTATTTATTTATTTATTTTATTTATTTACCTTAATGCACAAAGTAGATAGGTCAGCTTAACCTTTCGTATGTCTTAAACGTGGCTCCACGCGAGACACAATGTATTTTCACAATGTATTTTTCACAATGTATTGTGTCTTATAAACTGACATTCAACGGGTTAATGTCAACAAGCATTCTTGCTAGCCAACCTTTGGGTGATGCAGTAAAAATATGGTCGGAGGAAAAAAGTACAAGAACAAATGTAAAAAAAAAAATTTGATTAAAATGCATACTTTATAATAATGTGCATGAATTTTTAAGGTTCTTCTAAAAAAATTTATGAGAAAAATAATAATTTATTACACTACGATGTTTCGGATGTTTTTATAAATATGATCTTAATAAAAATACTTCTGATATAAGGCTTTAGGTTTCTGTCTTTGGAACCTTAACCATCGGTAGCTTGCACCATATACCGGACTGGCTCCTGTTTTTTATACATTTTAAATTAAAGACGATGTTAATATGAATGGCGAAAGTTGTAAATTGGGCATAACATTTTCCCTTACAATTTGATATTGTGACGACAGCGTTATCAACTATTTTACTTAGTAAAAAATAGTTGTCATACTAAGGCCACTATTTTAAAATACTATAATATAATGATAGGCCACTAGATCATGATTATTACAACACCGCCGACGTATCTTGGCGAGTCTGAAGTTAGCCGATTAGCTGCGCAGTACACAATTTTGTTCCTTAAAGATCCATTGCGCAGACAAACAGCTAACTTCAGACTCGCCAAGATACGGCGGCCGTACTATAATACATATATTAAAAGTAGCACCTGCTATAGCTACATATATATATAAGAAATCAAAGTGTACTATGTCATATAATATTATACTTATTTACATTCGCTATTCATAAAAATATATTTTATCATTTCAATTGGGTATTTAAAAAAACACTCAGAATTTGAAATCCAATTATCGTAGATCATAAATTGGCAATATACATATTACATAATAATAAAAGTGGATCTACTAGGTAAACTAACAATACAGGAAATTCTATACTAATTACACCCGGTTTCTGAAAGGCTTGTCAACGCTAAAATTAACTAAGTTCCTGTTAAATCTCTTATCATCTGATTGGTTGTTGATAATTCAGTCAACCAATCAGATGACTTGACAAGAGATTGAATTGATTTTAACATTGATCGGCCTTTCGATAACAGGGTGCTAATTTTGTTAATCACAAACAGTAGGTAATTACAGTATTCATATATATGGTAATATAGTTTATTGCTCTTATAAATATACATATGTTATTACAATAAAGTATCTTTGTATGTATGTATGTATATAATAGGATATAATATATTATGAAGGCGTCAGGACCTTTCTAAGTAAAGCACGGAGATGGCACTTACTTTCATAATCACACAATTCTATCACTTTTTTTATTTTTCCATAATTATACATCTACATTTTTAATATCTAGATAAAACAATTCGTTGTTCATAAAAAATAAAAATTTGTAAAAAATAATCTCTTTCATAAAAAAGTCGGTTATGTTGTTTTTTATAATAAAATTTTTAATTGGCTACTTGTACATACGTGTTGTAAAATATATTTAAACATTAGAAATGTCTTGTTACCGATCAATCAAGCTGTTTTTCACAGAAAAAGAGACCCATGATGATTGAACTCTAAAACGCTAGGTGGCACTGCCGTCGACCAGCCAGAAGGCTCAATATGGTAACTATGTGATGTGTCATAGTTGCCATATTTATGGAGCTATTCTAAGGCCAATCTTATGTCACCACGTTCTTCAAGATGTTACATTACGCGAGCTTAAATACAAAATAATCTACCCGCGCTTTTCTAAATTAATACTAACAATATGGTGTTGACATACAAAAATAAATTGAAATAGCATTGTTTATCTTTAGTATAACCTATAATTTCCTATACTTTTTGAATTGTATTTTTACATCGGGACACACAAATAGCCAATTATAACACAGGTATTAAACATTGACTTAATAAACGAATTTCATCTACGTATTGTACTTCTTAAATATAATAATTTCCTGTCAAAGAATGGCTATGAAGCTGCCTGAGTTACATTATTTTTGATTACTAACAGATTATTCCCTGGAGTATAGGTTCAGAACAAAAACCATTTACATAGGGATATGACGTCAGGCATTTTTAGTTTTATAAATGTTTTGCCGCCATATTAACGTCTGCTGAATTAACCGATCAACGATACAAAGTCTTTAGATTCTTTACAAGCAAAATTGCTTTCATTATATTATTATATGTGTATATTTGTGTAGTACAATGTTACAACTAAATTTTAAGGCATATATCTTCAACTGATTTTTTTTCTTTTCTCATTGAGGATCATCTTGACTTCTCCCGTTTGAGTGGATCGAGAGGAAATATCACTGTTAATTACTAAAAACCCTATTCCTTCAAGCTTCAAGGCGATTCGCGGTACATTAAATATTTCGATGACTTTCGCGCCGCGACGATGGAGTTCGCCTACCCATTAATCATAAGCAACCTATTTACTCGGGTATTGAAGACACCCATGTTATATACCGCTTAAAACTTGGGTCGTACAAACAAAATGTGGTATAAAATATCGGAATTAAGTTTTTATGTATATGTAAGAAAATATGTTAGGTTTAGTAATAAAATATATAGTACTTACTATGTATTAAAATCACATATATATTACACACAATACATTTGTATATTTGACTTATTACCGTTGCGCTATGCTTACCCCGAAAGGGGCTGAGTAGATGTTTAATGTTACTTTTTTAAATAAATGTTTCTACATTCAAAGTCATTATTGAATCTATTTCAATCTAATGGTCTTGTGGTCAGTAATTAAGCTTGCAACCATTAAACATAGGTATTAATATAATCATTATTAAAACAACAAATTTAATGTATTTTAATAAAATTATGATGATAAATCTTTTATGTACTCTATCTATATTTAAAGATGTAACGAACGAACATATTTGCGTGTGCGCATCATAAGAGAATTATTTAAAATACCGAAAAAAAAATTACTTTTCATAAAAGTATTCAATGAATGTAACTGGCTGATTACAATCGACGTTAATTCTCTTCATACTTCTAATTTTATTAGCCACACAATACGTAAACGACTTATTTATTTTCGTTAGAGTAATTTGTTTGTGTCCCACGTTGGGCGCCAGTATTCTCAAATCCAAGCATTTACGCTTATATTTTATTAGATCTTCCTGCTAATAGGTCTGTTTTCATAAAAAAAGATATTTTTGACATCTAGAGTCTAACAAGAACTTCTTGTACCGGTTGAATCAGAAGTCTTGTAGAAATTTTCCAAGTACCTACATATTTTTTTAACATGACAAGGATAGTTCAGGCCCTTTGAATCCAGGTATTATAGATGTTGGTGAAGGTATGTGTTTAGGTATCTAGATCTGGTACCAGGGGGAACGGCGCACCCAGCGCAGACGGTAGCCGCCTTGTTCCGTGCGGATCTTGATTGAGGCACCCTCTGCAGCCTTCACTGTTTCTTTCACCTGTAAATGGGGATTAAGGAATTTTTGTACACAATACTTCATCTATACTAATAAAATAAAGAGGTAAAATTTGTCAGTTTGTATATAGGGGGTAATCTTAGGAACCGCTGGTCGGACTTCTATAAGTCTTTCATTGATAGATAGCTACAATATTCCTGAGTACTATAGCTGGATTCTGAGCAACGAATAATAATAATATAAGTCTTCAAGTGATGGTGAAGTATTTAATATTTACCAGATACCATAAGAGTAAAATAATTATAACCATTGAGTGCCATGCTTCGGCATGGTTCGGCTCGACCGGAGGCCTTGCAGAAAACCAGCGTGAAGCAACATTGTGTTTCGCCTTGTGAGTGAGGTTACAGGAGGGTCAACACTCTACCCTAATCTTCAATCCTCAAAGCCCTAATACTTAATCCACAAGGGACCAGCAACGCTGTAGTAACTCCTTTGATATTATGAGTTCCCATTAGCATTCCCATTACTTTAAAATCTTATAAACAGTTGAATCAACTTACGCTCTGCATCAAGTTCTGAGCATTGCCGACCAGCATCTCCGTCGCTTCCTGGTCTTCTTCGCTACCTGTATAACATACATAATAAAAGTTAATATATGTGCTTGAGAAAATAATATGCTAGTCACAAACTCCACAACCAAATGGATGTGTGATCTTATGAAGACATTCACGGATTGTATTCGGGTGCATCATAATAATGTGTTACCATATTCTTGCAGTTTTTTTTGCTACAACTACGCCTACACTTTCGGAACAAAAGTAATCGACACGACTTCGCCAGTTAGCGAATTTGAGAACACGTTTTGTTTTTGTATTTTTTAAAGCATGTAGATACGATTGCTCTACGTTTTATTGTGTGGAATACAATAAATGCCAGTCTGTATCGCACCCGAAAATTTCTTTACAAAACCATAATCTTCTATAAAATCCAAATCTTAAATATTATTTTTATTTTATTATTTGTTGTAAAAAAATTATGACACTGGTCCAAATTTCAAGCCTAGTAATTATGTTTCATAAGACTTGGTCTGGTGACAGACGGACGGGTTCACGTTTTTACATTTTAGGTATAGAACACTAAAAACACTTATACCAAATGAAACACATACAATATAAATACGCAACACTCAATTTCCTCGAATTTTTCAGTTCCATATTATAGCTTATAATATTCAAATTATGAATAATGAAAATATATACAGTTTTAGATATGATTATGTGTGTTATTGACAGTGTGACGTCATAATGGATTACCTTTGTAGTCCGGCATGCCGACTGTTAAAGCGAAGCATAGCATTAATAGAAAGCTCATTATTATATACTATATAAGCTTATTCTATATAAATAAACCCATTTATTAAAGACAGCATTTAATAAAGTATTCAGAAAGAACAGCTAAGCACATGATAACAAAACTTTTCCAAAAAAAGTTATGTTCCAAACTCATACACTTTACTTTTATTATTTAGAGGTATGAGGGAACTGGGTGGAAAGATCCTCATCCTCCATTGTCTGGTGGGCTACTGCCCGACTATTGTTCTCGGGATTTGCATAGGCTCTAATTGCGTTGATACTTTTATATCGCGATGTAGAATTTTGCACGTGATTGGTGCTGTTGTTATTATTGTGCGATAGATGTCGCTACAATTATTACAAACTAGTGACATCCAACCGTCCCACTATGTTTTGGTAGCGAATGTTTAGATTACGAAAAGGCTAGCTATTTCCCAATTTCACCAGTCTGCAAAATTCTCTTTCTTCTCTTAAATAAAAACCACTCATTATAGTATTAAAAGATCAAACCCAAACATATTTTGATAGAGTATATGAATTTTAAATTGATATCTAGAGTTTATAATTGACATCAGTTACGTAGATTATCCTAATCAATTTAAAAATCTGACGTCATAAAATGTAACCTCCTTGTCACAATTCGTCATCCACTTCCCGATATTAATATCGTCTACCCCCTCAGCCTAACGTGTGATGTAACTAACGTATGGCCCCTGAAAGATCAAATATATGGGCAACCTGCGCAGGCGCATATCAAATGTTATACGTCCCATTGAATAAGGACTGAACATATTTCCATTCGTTACTTAAAAGCAGTTATACAAAGCTTATTAAAAATATGATTTAAACAAACGCATATCGTTAGCAAAGTTAAATAAATAATATTTCCTTGTAAATTAGTAAATAAAAGATTAAGCAATAAGTTTACCTTGAGCGCCAAGCATGGTCGCTTTGACGGTGGACAGAATCTTGAGCTGGGTGCCAATCGTCGGGATACGCTCACATACTTGCAGGAGGTTCTATGATAAAGACATTTTGAATTAAGTTATCATTATTTTTCTCTATATTAAGTGTGGGAGAGCCATGCTTCGGCACGAATGGGTCGGCTCGACCGGAGTGATACCACGGCCTCATAGTAAACTGACGTGAAGCAACACGTAAGTTGTGTTTCGCCGTGTGAGCGAGGTTACCGGAAGCCCAATTCTCCCTACCTTACCCCCGTCCTTAAATCCCGAATAACCCACAAGAGGCCAGCAATGCACTTGTATTTGGTACTATGAGTGTCAACGGGCGGCATTGATTGCTTACCATCAGGTAATCCGTCTTGTCGTTTGCCGCAAGTGCAATGAAGATATAGGACAGTGCGCTTACTGAGCTGAGGTACAAGACTGAGTGACTAATAGCTGCAGCGTCACTTTAGCCGACCTGAACATTACTATGGGAGTCTGCTCACCAGTGACCCTTTTTTCAAATATAAATTGACGTGTATTTGTAAAAATAAATTCATTGTTTTAATCCTGTCAGTCTCTACTTACAGTTCGAATCCTCTTGTCAGTGCACTCGAGAGCCAGTTTCTTGGCAAGCCTGGTGACTTCCTCTGAAGCTTCAGCGATCGCCTTTGCCGTAGCAATGAGCTCACGTTTGCTACCTGGTGAGAGAAAAGTGGGGATTAGTGATGGGTACTGGGTCAGGTGTTTGATTAATCATATACATGCACAAAAAGTCATGCATTGTCCAAAACAAAACAAAAAACATGGCGAAAAATGTATTTAATAGGTTTTGAACTTTTTAGTGAATTTTAACACTGGCCACATTTCTTTAGTTACATAACATTCTGTCAGGTGGCGTCTTAGTTTTCTTTCCTTGAAAAAGAATGTGCCAGTAAAAAATACGGTTTATAATTTACAAGAATACATTCTTTATTAGAAAATTACTAGTATCCATAATTTAATAATAGGGATATTTTGGAGAGTAATTATGTGAATTTTAGGTTATGTAATGAAAGAATTACACCCGGTTTCTGAAAGGCTTGTCAACGAATCAGATGACTTGACAAGAGATTAAATTGATTTTAACATTGATCGGCCTTTCGGAAACCGGGCTTTAATAAAAGAAATAATGATGTAACATGCAAGTGATCTGTATTATGTATACCATTTCTGCGTAATTTCAACTACTGTTTTATTGTTATTGTTTGCATAGGTTTTTTTTTAATAAATAGTAAAATGTTGTCCTGTTTTGTGGATATTTTCCATATACACATCAGACTCAGGCCATAGCCAAGACAGGCCAAGCAACAATTGGGTAGTTTAGTTGTAGAATTAAATAGAACAGAATCTTTAAAACAGTCAGTCCTTGGTCCTCACGCCAGTCACCAGTGACAGCAGTAGTAAGTACGAATTAAATGATAGTGGGTCTAGGTAATACCTATTTTTCTTTTACTTTTTTTCTTTTGTAGGGTGGATATCTTAATATTACTACTTCCGTTCCGGGAGGTGGGATCTGTACTGACCAATAATTTAATCTGTTCCTTCTCCGGGACGGAACGTAATACTTTTTTTTGCGGGGGGAAAAAATTATCACATCTTTTCTCACCCAGGCTGAGGTAAGAGAGAGTATCATGCCCGGTTTCCGAAAGCCCGAACAATGCTAAAATCAACTAACTAGGTGTCAAATCTCTTGTCAAGTCATCTGATTGGTTGCAGATGACTTGACAAGACAACTTGACAACATTGATCGGCCTTTCGGAAACCGGGTGTCAGTCTCACTGACTAAGAACCACCCCGTTCGTTCTTCTGCTCCAGGCTAAGGCCGCGCTAAATTATTGCGCTAACCCCGCAGCCGTGGTTGGACGCAATACTAAATCTCTGTTAACCACCAAGAAACAAATATACAGGCGCAATGATATTATAAGTAAAAAGGTATAGATAGGTCATAAGCGCTCAGCAAGTCATACATTAAAATGAGGCTAATTAGCCACACTTTTTTATATTAGTCTCTTTTTCACTCGCGATTATTGAATCATGCCATCCCGCTTTGACGTCTAATCATACGAATTGTTCATGTGTGCATCAGTGTGCCGTTTTTTGAAAAACGAATGTTGTTTATGTAACCTATCTGCACCATTTTACTTATAATATCACTGTACAGGCGACGTTTCCTACAATACTGATTTTGGTCTAATGTCTACATATCTACAAATGACGGTATGACGTGTGACTTACCGCTTAGATTCAAAGCGACCTCTGCTCCGAGCGTGAGACATGTTCAATGGGTACATACAACCATATACATACATACAGACAGACATTAAGCGCATATTATTATTATTATTTAAGCAAGGCTTTAACATCGATAGCGATGAATGCATTATTATTATTTTTATAATATAGTTTTTTTATGGGATAGTTTGGTAAACGAACAGACCGATTCATTGATAGGTAGAAATCGGCGTCGCCCATTGACACTCGCAATACCAAGAGGGTATATACAATACAAGTGCGTTACCGGTCTTTTGTGGGCTATCAGGGATTTGAGGTTAGGAGATTTGGGGATTGAGGATGGGGGGAAAGGATAAGGCCTCCCGTAACCTCACTCACACGGTGAAACACAACGTAAATGTTGAAGACGAGGGTCTTATAAATTCTCCTGTTTGTTCCTTACCAAACTTCTGAAGAAGAGACACATTTTCTATTAACACATTACTATCTTCAGCTAATCTATTCAACATTTTTGATTTCTGACCGCCTAGTTATCTTATTTTAGAACAGTCAGATATTTTTTGTTGCAAACCACTTCAGCAACATGTTCTTGTTTGGTTTAAGATTTTTTTTTTTAAATAGAACACAGAAAAGCGTATACGTAAATAATATGCGCCTAAATACAAGTAAATACGAGTAATATACAACACAGTGTTAGCGTGAATAGTGCATACAATATACAGCTTTTAGTTACACAGCGAGTACAAAACGAATACATACATTTTTATTGGTATTATTAGTAAGAGTTTGAAGGATATAAAACCATATTTTGTAGACACACAAAATAATGACCTTTTGGTAGAAAAATGAATTTCTTTTTTATGTTATTAATTGTATGTTTATATAAAAGTTGACCGTTACTATAAACATTTGATGAAAATAAAAAAATATGCTCGAAATATGTATACATATCATTTGGAGGTCTTTTCCTGACCACCCTTGGATAGACAGAATCTGTCATCATTTCTGGGACAGTCCCAGGTAAAAGTTATTAATGGTAGAATGTATACTTATCATGTGAGTTAATAAATAAAAACAATTTTTTTGCAAAAATGGTAAGGTGTTAGTGCAATATAATTTTTTGTGAAAATTGGTACTTCTTCATTTGTTTTCGAGTCATTTTTGTAACTTCCTACTAATACTAATTTTGCTTTACTGAAGCGGGTTAATATAAAGAACCTTTTTTGGCAAATTAAGTACACTTATTCGTTTTTACGTGAGTGTTTTATCACTTTTTCGTAGGTAACCGTCTTTAATTAATAAAGACATTTGTAAACAGATAGTTAACTATTGCGGGATACACTATTTGGTGTATAGTTTAACGAGCATACAATACAAAGTATCTTACCCTTGGAGTCGGATCGCACGAGTTCGGACAGCCTGGCCATGAGTATGGCCATCCGCTTGGCGGCGGCGATGATCTCGTTGTCCTTCGACGACCACTCGCGGACTGCCTTGTGCAGGTTGTGGGCCGCCACCTACATACAACGATAAGGGAACATCTAATAAATACTGTATGGGTATTAAGTTCTTATGTGACCATAAGTAATCGGGTGTAAGGCAAAATATTTATTAATACAATTACGACTGATAAATATTTTCTTTGTTCTTAGATTAGTATATTGGATTATATTTGAATTTAGTAGGGTGATTGATGGCGTATTCTACCAGCTTATTATATAATTTGGAACGAGTACCTAGCTTCACTTGCAAACAGACTGACAGACTACTATTCCTTTTATAAACGTTGTTGATGTTTTTAATATTTAGACTTTCAACATATTGCTTCTTTTTATCGACGAATAGACTTTCAACATATTGCTTCTTTTTATCGACGAAGTGACGTCTACCGTCAAAAAGGACAGTAATCACTGAATACAATTAAAACTTACCAAAATAGGCTGGCTTGGATGAGGTTGCCTTCTGAAGATATCCTCTCCCTCATCATCAGTGTCAGCAGGCGGTGGGGGGCGCGGCGGGGGCGCGGCGCCGGTGGGGGGCGGGGGGCGCGGCGGGGCGGCCGCGTCCGCCACGTGCAGGCGGGACAGCGCCTCCGGCAGCGCGGGCGGCGGCGGCGCCGGCGCATAGTGACCCGACAGCGCTGATTCTACTTCTCCTGCTGCGTTTATTATCTGTGGGGGACAATGTTACATTTATACTAATAATAGGTCTTTACCTATGAAATTGCCGTTCTGCAGTGCTGGCCATTTCAAATCAAAATAGTTTTTGTTAGGCTAAACCCCGGTTTCCGAAAGGCCGATCAATGTTAAAATCAATTTAATCTCTTGTCAAGTCATCTGATTGGTTGACTGAATTATCAAAAACCAATCAGATGGCTTAACAAGAGATTTAACAGGAGATTAGTTAATTTTAGCATTGACAAGCCTTTCAGAAACCGGGTGTAAGGCTAATTAATTTTGTTTTAAAAACATGGGATTCTTTTTCCAAAAGTAGTCATTTGTTTATTGATTAGTGTTACATTTTCATCGCATTTCAAATCAAAAAATTCGTTTAAATTTTTTCATGCAAAACGGCAATTTCATAGGTAAAGACCTATTATTATAAAGGGGTAAAATTTGTAAGTTTGTATGTAAGGGGTAATCTTTGGAACCACTGGTCGGATTTCCAAAATTCTTTCACTTATTGATACAGCTACAATGTTGCCGAATGCTATAGGCTATAAAACATCACGCTACGATCAAATGAGGCCGAGAAGAGGCGCAGAAGTATCTAGTTGGTTTGTATAGAAACGTCTTTGTTTTTTTAAATAAAATCTTCTGTATGTAACAGAAGATTTTATCGTTGCGGGATCAAGGACTCATGTCTTTGGAACTGCTATAGGGGTTTTGGGAATTTGTGTATTGTGTCGGGCTGAGCCCAAACAAAAATAATCCAACAAGAAGACATCTAAAAAAAGGGGACTAAATGGATCCTAACTAAATGGACACTAACAGTAGCAATATGAACAAACTAAAATACAAAAAATACGTAAGAGCAGAATAATAGTATTAAAATGGTACAAGTATATAAAGTGATTATGTCAATATATTGGTGATTACCGTAGAACCGCATTGAGGCTCGAGCCATCAGTCGAGGGTCTTAAGGAGCCGAGGACCGAGGACGGTAATCATCACATGGCATTTTATCAACACACTTCTGAATAAAATAATACTTAAATAAATAACTTCAAAAGAGAAAACGAGACGAGTTGTGAAAAGTATTTCGTAATGGTGGGAAAAAAATATACAGTATTCCTATGTGCACTGTTACGGGAGTCCTTTTAGCTAGCATCAAAAAAAGTGTTTTCTGTATATATGTACTATTTATTTAGTTTATTTAATTTAAAAATTATATTATATAATTTTTAAATTATATTATAATTATGGACAATGGACGACCGTTCCGTAAGGAGATATTCACAGAATGTTAGGAAACTGGCAGGCAATCTTTATACTGGATGTACGCATGTGACATTGCAATCAAGTATCATAGTGATGACGTAGCAAGGTCTATGTCATCTCGGGATAAACTATTACATGTTGGGGATGTGTACAAAACCTTTTTTTGGCTTTTCACTGGCGTGTAAGTGTAAGCGTAACTCAAACAATAAACAAAAAAGAAACTCTATTACTCATTAGTAAGTAAAAGTAATGAAAAAAAATTGATTATAGGTGTTATTAGTTACGTGCCTAATTGCTGTGGGATTAGAGTCATTTTATAAGGATATGTGTTGAAAAGTAAGAAATAAAGAAAAACCATTTATTAACGCAAAAGCAACAAAACAAACAAGTAAAACTAACGACGACACAAACATATAATCATTTAAATACGCAGCAGTTTTCGCAGGGTGATGCCTGCGAAAAAGGGACATCGCTCAGCATATATACTGTGCCTCGCGCACGAGACAACAGCGCTGGTTTTCAGTGCAAACCTGTTTTTCTTTTAATATATACGGTATATGTGGTACCTCAGCGTTGGCGGCGCGCCATGCGGCGGCGTGCGCGCGGTCGCCGAGCGCGACGGCCTTGGCGCAGCGCACGGCGGGCGCGATGGCCGCCTGCAGCCGCTGCTGCGCCGCGCCCAGCGACCGCGCGAACGACGCGTCCTCCGTGTTCTCGCGCTCCGCACCGCCCACCAACAGGACACGGTTCGCCAGCCTATACGGGGGGGGGGGGGGACGTTAAGAACTGCGCCATATCACAACAGTTGCCTAGACGATTCCGTAGAGATTTAATCGTGATTGCTTCCGATAACTTCGCTTTCACGGCGTAAAACAACAAAAGTTTTTCGTCACGACAGTTTTCTGTGAAAGCTGGTCCACTCGTGCCGAAGCATGACATCTCCCATTCTTAAGAAATGGTTTCATCGAAATCAACCACAGTCTTACAGAAACCCAGCGTGAAATTACCACAGCGTCTTGTTGCGCCTAATTACCTGAGGCACAAACCTTTCCCACCCCATCTCCCTCCCCAGTCTTTAAATCTCAAATGCACTTGAAACTCCTCTAGCCTTGCGTGTACCATAGACAACACTGCTTACCATCAGGTATACATGTAGTATGCTAGTTCTGTGCCATATCATAAAAAAACACACTTTCCTTCTGACAACCATCCACCACTCGACAAAAAATGGCAGTTCAAATCTCGAAAAATTTTTCAAAAAACCAATTAAACACAAATTAACAATACAATAATGATAGTTATACAGTACCTAGCAATAGCGGAAGTATTGTCGACCATCTTCTGAGAGTCGTTGTTACGTATCGCGTCCTCGCACAGGTACGTGTGCTTCTGCATCAGCTCGCCTGTTTGGATAGGAAAAAATGTTTGTAAGACCGTTTATACCCTTTTTTTAGGTGAGGAGAAAATAAATCAAAATAATCGCCCTGGTTGAGGCGAGAGGGAGTGTCAGACTCTTACTGAGTAAAAACCCCTCGTTCCTTCTCCAGGCCGAGAATGCGGAACCTTATTGCGCTTACCCCGCAACCTTTTAAATCTCTCAGTACATAAGTACAGAGTGCCCAAAATCAGTGGTACTTATTTGAATAAAAAACCATATAATCTCAGAGCGAGATAGATTAAAAATAATATTTAGTCAAAACTCGGTGACGAAACCATATCGCGATGTAATTCGGCGCCAACGCCATCTAGGCAAGTCAAGTGTAAACTCTGGTACAGAATAGTGAATTCAATAGATGGCGTTATATGAAATAATTTTGGAACTATCTCATTAATCACTTGCATATAAATATGAAGGCTACAAACAGACCCTAGGTAAAAAAAGCGGTCTTGAATTATTGCAAATGTGAAACATTGAATTCTAATCTTTGCGCAAACTTTTGCGCTGTACCTCGGCATCTGACCAATGGTTTGCTGTTGAGTCTAGCCTAAAACCGAGCTTCACTGACAAACTGACAGACTACTATTCTTTTTTGAAGTTTCAAAAGTACCTATTTATAGTTTACTCGGAATAAATGATTTTGACTTTGACTTTGAAGTAAGATGTTGCGCAAAAGTCTGCGCATTGATTTGTTTGTTGCGCAAAACACAGTATCACTTTTATAATAGCGAATTAGTCTCAGCCATTCTTAAAATCATGTTTTTCCCTAACAGAAAAATTTTCCCCTTATCCAACACGTAACTTACCAGCAGTCCTGACAAAGTCCAACGGGTCTACGGCCTGGTCACACAGGTCTCTAACACGGAGCACGGCGTCCGCGTACTGGTTCTTCAAGTTGTTGAAATGTTCCTCTGCCACCTATTGGTTGGAAATTAGTTGGAAATTATTTTACCATTTTAAGCTAAAGTATTAGCAGTAAATGAGAGTCTTTAAAGGGTGTTATGTCGGAGTAAAACATACCTTACTGTCTGGGTTGTACAGTCTGATTTTGCCTGCTGCAATCAGTTGAGGTGAGAGCTTTTCAACCTGTACAAAGAAAATGGTTATTTAATTACACTGAAATTTTATGAACTAAGCTCAACTAGCAGTGGGAAGTGGTAGTGTGTGCCAAGTTTCGACTCGATCGGAATGATATCACGGAAAATGGGCTTGAAACAACCTCAGCATTTTACATCGCCATGTAAGGTTATCGAAGGCCCAGTTCTGGACCTCCTCCTATTCCCTTCTAATCCCTACCTATTCAAAACCCTTATCACCAAAAGGCTGGCAACGTACCTGCTAGTACATTGTGTCAATATGTCATTTGGTGTCAATAGGCGGCGCTGATTGCTTACCACCCTAGGTTAACCGTCTGCCTGTTAGCCGTTCTATCACATAAAAAAATGGTCTGCCACGGGCAGCTATAAATTAGTATCAACTAAGCTTGTAAGCCTCCTGATGACATAATTATGAATAAAATTAAATGGAATAATCCCCCCTACCTGCTGCGCATTATGTATGAGTTGGTCAGCAAGCCTCTTGTTGTGTCCTACTCCGGCGGCGACGACGCCGGCCGCGGCGGCGGCGCGCGCGCTGAATGCGGCGAGGGCCGCCGCCTTGTCGTGGAAATGAGACTCCCGCCCCGGGGTACCTGGGTAAGGAGATTCTGATACACAAAATGATTGTGCAATGGTTGCGCAAACTTTGCGCAATGGATTATATATTACTGCAATTGACTAATAATGTGAAACTAATCGGATATAAAGAAACTCAAAAGATAATTTGAAATGACAATGCGCAACCATTAGACTACGTTGCGCAAAAAATCACATTATTTCAACTTGCGCAATCAATAAATTTTCGATGTAACACACATCAGTTTGCGTAGGTAACCATATTTGACTACAAATGCTTAATTATTTATTTTCTTCACAAAAAACTTAACTAAAGAAATGGCTGTTAAAATATGCAACAACGTACCTGGCGGTGCATTAACAGCGTCAGTAAAATGCCGGAGTGGGGCGGCGACGTCAATGAAGTCCTCGACGACGCGATTGACGACGGCGCGCTCCGTCGCTCGCTTCAACTCGTGTAACTTGTCCGTTAGTTCCCTGGAGAGGGAGAAATTATTAATTGTAATCATTTATATAGCAATAAAGTTTCGCGGCTTCGCTATTCTATTCTGTCAAACTCGGTTCTACCAAGTCTACCTTTATTTATAAGAACCTTATCCCGAACAGATCAAAGAGAACAAAAGAAAAATTACTGGAATCGGATCAGCTGTTCTCAAGATTAGCGCTTCAGAAATTATTTATATAAGACATTATAGTGATTCGTTTTCATATTAGAGACTAGTCTTGCTCCGCACGTAGGGTTGCGGGTTAAGCGCAATGAGTCACCGCGGTTTTTAGTCAGTAAGAGTCTGACACTCTCTCTCGCCTAACCCTGGACGGGAGAAGACATTTGATAATTTTCCCCTGACAAAAAATGCCCTGCTCCGCACGAGTGTCTGGTGTCTAACTACCTCGCTAATGTAATAAAAGAGTAGCTATATCCCAATTTCTCCCATACTTTTCTTCAATTGTCTTCCATAAAAACCTTATTCTGACAATAACAAACTAAACAAAAAAAGAATTGGCATAAATTGTTGAATTATTTAGGGAATAAACACAAAATATGTACATTCCTCATAATTTTGTTGAGATCAACATTCGCATACGCCTCCATAGTTATTTTCAAAAGAAAAACATACTAATCCTGTCTTCAAGAGTAGTTCTCTTACCTGGTGATAGCTCTGGCTTCCTCGGTATCCCCCTTCCCGCTGGCGCATAAATCAGCCAACTTGTCGGATAGACGCTGTACTTCAGAACAAAGTTGTAGTACTTCTGCCTTTTCTCTACCTTGGAGACCATCAGCAATCTATATGGAAGGAAAATTGAGATAATGAGTCAAGTATTAAACGGAAAATTGTAAATTAGCCAGATCAGTAATAGTAATTATTGTTTTACTTGTCAATATATGTAAAATATGTAGTTTCCTAAAAAAAATTGTTTTGACCGTGGTTTTGACTATTCACTACAACGAATTATTTTCATTCCTCAGAATACAGAAGTTTCATTCATAGATTTCACTATATTATTGTACTTTAATTTTAGATTGTTCTAGCTCATTTTTCAGAAATAAGCATGATACTTATTTGACGTCAAAACATTATGGCCTCATATTATCTTGAGAGTAGAGAAACGATTTATTTTATAAATAAATCATAGATAAGCATCGTTTTTGACTTTTCAATAAGAGTGTTGAATTTCGACCAGTTGACAACAACCAGATTATACAAAAGCAGTGTGATAGTTCTAAAATAAAATACGATATCGGTATTTAGTCCTAGATGGCGCTAAAGTGTAAAATCACAACACCATCGAATTCTCTGTTGGGCAAACAGAACCTTAACCTACACTAACGCCATCTAGCGACCAAAAGCATAACTCAGTTCAGAGGAATCAGCTCAGAGTTAAACAACGTACCCTCTGTCCCTGCGACACGATGCTATTGATGGCCTTCTGGCCCTCAACCCTGGTCACCGGGTCCGCAGCGGGGTGCAGCAACCATTTGTGGGCTGTCTCCAATCTACGTACGTAACATCAAAGGTTTATTAAATACAAGAAAAACACTTTATAATAAAAAAAAACATTAATTATTTAAATATAGTAGGTGACAGCAGAGTGAAATGGGCAACACTTATCAAACAGTTTAAAGTTATTGCGTGAAGAAACTGCATACGGCCTTCGACACTGCTGAGCTCGACCCAATTAATAACCATGATAGTGAAAATAAAGACCAAGGGTTTGCGGAAACTCGCCGATACAACTTCGTGCATGGGTAAGGTGACTGAACGATCAATCCTTCCTCCAAAGTCCAGCAAAAGGTTGCAACATCTCTATCACCAAGTGGCAGGCTTATCACCAAGTGCGGGAGATCCATGCTTCGGCACGAATTATTAAGCTCGACCGGAGTAATACCACGGCCTCACTGAAAACCGGCGTAAAACAACCACAGCATTGTATTTCGCCGTGTTAGTAAGGTACCGAAGACCCAATCCTTCCCCTCGCCTAATCCCTAAATCTCCTAAATTTAAATCCCCAAAAGTTTGGCAACGCACTCGTAATTCCACTTTTGTTGCGGGTGACCATGGGCGGCGCTGATTGCTTATCATCAGGTAATCCGTCTGTTTGTATTATCTGTATTGACCAAATAACTATTATTATTATTTCTCATGAGGTAACTCACCTAGCCTGCATGGTCTTTCCACCTTGCTTCTCAGCGGCCCTGACTCCCTCATTCACGATGGCGTCCAGCTCATTGATCTGGTGACGAAGGTCTGAAGCTAGGTTCAGTGCCTGAAATAAACATTTATTCAAGTATGCATCTTACATTATTTTGAATAAGTAATCCTCGTGCTTTCAGCTAGTCGCGTATAATCATTATTTTTTTATTTTATGAAATACGTCGGCAAATGATCAGACGTGTTTCCTGATGGTCAGCAATCGGCGCCCCCCCGGGACAGCCGTCCATGGCACGAAGCACTCTAGCTTTACCTGCCTATTGGAGATTAGGGTTTCGGAGTTTCTCACAGCGATACACAACGCAGTGGTTGTTTCGCTAACGACGAAATGATCGCCGTTTCCAAATTTTCTTCCGACATAACAAACTACAAAAAAATATTTACATAATCGGTCCAAGTGATGCGACATTTTGTGATAAACATTATAGGTTCATCATCATCATCAGCCTATAAATGTCCACTGCTGAGCAAAGGCCTCTTCTCATACGGAGAAGGTTAGAGCATTGATCACCACGCTTGCTCAATGCGGGTTGGCGATTTCAAACTTATAAGTAAATTATAAGTCACGGTTTCCTCACCTTGTTTACCTTCACCGTATGCAAGTGGTGTCTAAATAATCATAGAAAGTACATATAACTCGGAAAAAGTCACATTGGTACTTGCTAGGTTGCGAACCCGGGCTCATTAACCTCCGAGCCACCACGACACTAAACTAAACATTGTAGGTTATCTAGTACGATGGATAAGACAAGTTACCTTGGCTTCTCTCCCGTGTCCATACTGTCGCTCGTCGCAAAGCTGGTCAGCGTTTGTACCTCCCGATCTGAAAGAAATTAACAATTTAGTTACCTAATTGTTGACAGTCTTCTTAGTGAAGCTATTTACGCGTTCCAAAGTATAGATTCTGATAGAGAAGAACGAGCAAGAAACTCCATGGATATTCTTTTTAAATCATTTTCACATACATATTCCTTGTACAAACAGTTGGTTCAATTGGTGTTTCCTACGTCAAATATAAATTAATTCGACGTTTCAATACAATAAAATAAAGAAAAATAACTATACTTTTATTCATCGAACGATAGATATAATAAGTTTTAGATATTTTGTAGCTAATTATTAAGAAATAAGTAAGCTATTTGACTCAAAAATACTATGACGCCATAACTCAGTTTTTCATAAAATTTTCACAGAAAAGTATCGTTTTTGACATGTGGATAAAAGTAATGAATTTGACTAGTTGGAAACTACCGTATTTTGTAAGAACAGTGTCAGGCGTATATTTATTCAGAGAAATATAAAAAGAAAATAATTTTAAAGGATTAAGATCTTGGAATTGGGCAAGCAAACATAGACAATGAGGATAGTTACCGGACGAGCCTGCGAGTGAGTTCAGCAGGTTGGGGCGCGAGGTGCTCGGCGGCACGCTGCGCCGACGTCAGTACGCCGCGCAGCGCGCGCTCGCCCGGACCCGTGCGGGGCGCGTCCGGGTCCTGCGCCGACCAAAATACATATAAACTCAATAACACTCTCAAAATTACGTCATTTTGAGACTCTCAGATGCAAATATTTCCTCGAAACCGTAGATATTATAAGAAAAGTAAATACTAATATTATAAAGTGGTAAAATTTCTAAGTTTGTATGTTTGTAAGTTTGTATGTAGGGGGTAAGCTTTGGAACCGGTGGCCGTATTGCCAAAATTCTTTCACTGGTAGATAGCTACAATGTTCCTGAGTGTTATACGCTATAAAACATCACGCTACGATGAAATGGACCCGAGCAGCAGGTGAAACCGCGCGAGAGTAGCTAGTAAATAATAATCTGTGTATATAAAAAAAAGTCGTGTTACTTACACTATTTAGAACCGGCTCAAAACCAATTTGAACATACAATTTCACATAAACATTACACAATTTGTAAATCACACAAAGAGTTGTTCCGTACGGGAATCGAACCCGCGACACGTTGCACGGCAGCCAGTTGCCCAGCCACCGTACCAACCGTGCAGCTAAGTTATAAAACCTAGCACCAAACTAATATTTCCTCCTGTATCGTGGGTGAATTTACGCATATGAAATACACATACAAGTCGTATCTGTAAATGAAGTACTCACATTGAGGAACTCGTGCGCGGCGGCCATCTTGGCGTGTATCTGTTGCTGCAACGCCTTCAGTACTGTGACGTTGTCTTTCTCGCCACCGTCTTCCACGTACGATGTCAGTTGGAGGACACTAGACAACAAAATAACTATCAACTGGTGAGGTTTGGGACCACCCCTCCCTGGCTTCACGTGTATTTTTTGGAAATCTATGTAAAGGCTATTTTTGACTGGAAAAAATATTTAAAAAATGGCATTTTGATTTACTTATATGCATTTGCAATAAAATTAATTAATGTTGTCCTCGTCCCACGGAGTGACAAGTAGTTTTAAAATTTCGGTTTAAAAATAGAGAAAAGAAGATTTTTGACAAAAAACAAACAAAACACGTGATTTCTAACGAGGCCTCCCTCCCTCTTCGTGATGTTTCATGATGTTTTTCGTACCTCCTAACCCCCTCTTTTGAGCTTCATGTGATTAATGGACGGCCCCAAAATAATAAAATAAATAAATGTAATGGTTGTTACCGTATAATCTCATGTATTTCATCAGCCATCCTTTGAGCTAAATAGTTTCTGTTCTCCGCAGCTTCTTCCATACCCTTGCCTCCTGGAGTCGTAAAAAGAATTGTTATAGTATAAAAGGAATAGCAGGAATAAAGTTTTACAATCACCCACATTAATAAGCCACATTCAGATGGTAAGAAAATAGTTGAACACTGGCTTTCCACACTGAACCTTTTCGGTGGAAATCGGTAGGTCATCCATCCTCAAACTGGAAGATGTCCTACACTAAGCTACACTGATGGGCACCCACTATTTGGAAGTTTTAAAAGTGGTAGGTCAATTTGTTGTTTTAATTTCAAGACGTGGGCCGTTCATGATTTAGTCCGAGTGGGCCTGCTGAAAAGTGTGTAAGTCAGACCAGTGGGGGCCCAACTCCCAAAAGCCAAAATTACCGAATGCTTACCAGGTAAACAGTTTGGACGGATGTCGCCGTATCCCATGAAAAAGGTTAAACACCCCATCCAAAGTAGGGTTTTTTTTCAAGGCGGAAAATTAGATCCATTTACTTTCTTTTTTAAAAAAAACCTTTCCCCACCTTAGGATCTTCTTCTGTATTGTTAGTGCGTTTAGAAACATAGAATTTCACACACACATCACACCCAGACCCAGAACAACAATTTGTGGATCACCCAAAGAGTTATTACCCGCGACACGTTGCTCGGCAGCCAGTTGCCCAGTCCACAACCGTGCATTCAAATCATCAAATGAAATCGACCAAGCCGGGCGAGATAAGGAATTAGACTCTTTCTGACTAAAAAACGCCCCGTTCCTTCTCAAGCTCCAAGCCGAGGCGGCGGTACATTAAAGCGCTTACCCCGCAACAACCAAAGTGGGGATTAACATTTCATTTAATTATTATCACCATTTTTACCATTATAATTAATCATATGATCTCAAACTATATTACTGGCGCCTTGCAACAAATACATACATAAAAAACCATCAGAGGGCCAACCATGACGTGTAGAAGCTTCTATCTTCTTGAGAAAGAGGGATGTAGCTATAAAAGGTGTATAGCTCCATCTCTCTTTCTCGTCATGCTTTATCGTACACAATGATATAAAGTTGGTACAAAAAGCGGACCACGGCGGTCAGTGAATTATGCGAAAAACAACAACATATTGACGATGTACCTTCAGTAAGTATGTGTATGTAGATCTTCATGGAGCAGATGAGTACGGGCGCGAGCTGCTTGACGCTGTCGAGGCAGCGGTTGAGGGTCTCCGCGTGCGGAGGGTGGGTCAGCTCGGCCGCGCGGGCTGCCACCTGGGGGAGAAGTCATAATTATTGATATTAGTAATATTTTTATGTAAGAATCGAAAAAAATTATAATGATATAGTCTCCGACTTTAACTTTCAATCTATACTTGGTTGAGGACAGGTCAATGTTTTACATTACATAAGGTAGTTTCCAAAAAAAAATATTTACAGAACTTCACATCTTAAATGTAAAATTTTACAAAAAATAATAATTCCCGTCGGAAAGTAAATAGCCCTATTGTTCAAAGGCTGTATCAAAACTCTCTGCCGTCTTGGGACTTCAATCTAAGACGCTATTTTCAGTATTTGGAACGTGTTTAATCTCTTGTCAGTATGATTTGACTGCAGCAACTTTTAGCTTTTTTTTATTTGTATGTTCTTTTGGTTATTTTATATTTTATGTGGTTTAAATTTAGCTGAAGGCTTTTACATGAATTCGAATAAAACTACGAGAGAAAACTAGTACGTACCTCTCTGGCTGCCCGGGAGAGTGCAGGCGAGATGTCTCTGAGGAACTGCACCAGGTCCTCCATAGTGTCTATGACCTCCGCCACACCTAGGTAGTCTAGCACCTGGAATGTACAAGTAAAAAACATTACGCCTTTTTCGTAAGCAGATCAGTATCAGTGATGAGCAGGGAAGCAAGAAGAATTGATTTTTGGGTACAAAATAATTGGTCAAAAAGTTGTCTTGAAGAATGTAGGTATGTACGATCTTTGCAAGTTCTGTTTGTTTTATAAATATAAATTGTAAATCACTTATTTTTATTGTAACTTAAACTATAGATACACTCAACACTATTACAGTGCTAATACTGACAAGTAACTACACAGTCCTATCTATGAATTTAAAAAAAACAATACCTATTTCTAATCTAACTATTCAACTACCACAACAACCTCCTAACACACACATCTACACTAACTTCAGTTTATTTTAAAAACTGATTTGAACTTAACGACATCGATACGTTACCGTGATTAGCCCTCTGATTGGTCGGTTAATTTGCAGCTGGCCAATCAGAGCAAAGAACGTCATTAACGTGTCAATCGTGATAACGTAAAGCAAATTCTAATTAGATATTAGTACCTATTTATGGTTTAGTTGGAATAAATGATTTTGATTTGATTTGATTTGATACTTGGTACAAAGTTCAAGTAAAGAGAACCGATTCAAAATATTTTAAGGGCTGCATTTTCGACGGCTAGATAAAAGTTTTCTGAAGGAATAAATATGATGCTGTTGCGCCAGAATGTTTGAATAAGACAGTGACAGCAACAATTTAGTCCTCAGATAACAATTGAAAAATCAGTCCTATGTCATGAAATATAAAATGCATTTTAAATTGTTAACATCTTGTAAAAGTCAATCTTAAATATTTAGAAAGTTACTTTCAATTGCCATATTGGCTAATCCAATCAGTTATAAAATATTGTTTTCCTTATACAATGCACAATTTCTCACGCTGAGAACAATTCCTATACAAATACAAATCCACTTTCATATTCCCATACATAAAACAATGTTGTTGTATGATAAGTATGAATTATCTTGGCAACAACAATCTACCAATTAGACATGTGTTAATGTCTAATTAATCATATCTCATAAAAAACTGAACAAATATGAATGCCCCCTTTTATATGTCCCTGCTCAGTAAGATCAAAAGAAGTAAGGAGAAGAGAGAAAAGATGAAGAGGAAATAGGAGACCATTTATAATTTTATTTACTTATACAATAATATTACTAAAAGTTATGTAATGGAAGTACTTCTATACATACATAAAATAATTTTCAATCATTGATATTACATACTTACTAAAAGAAAACAATTTTGAACAACGGCTACGTCATCATTTTGTGTCACAATAGACATACAACACAAATATTTTCTCACTAAGAAAAAATCTACAAGTAAGAAAACCTTACCTTCTTGCACTCCTTAACAATCTTCCTGACTTCAGACTCATCGAAGCACAGCAGTAGAGCAGATGTTCCTTGCAAGATACCACGGGAACCCTCGATCAACTTCTTTCTGCAAACAATGTTTAGTTTCAACTCTCTAACACTTGCATTATCAGAATCAAAGGTAAAATAACTCGCGTCGATAGACATTGACATGGTGACTACACAATAGGAATCCAAGGACTGTCTTCACAATAGAACAAAATTCTTCAAATAAACTCCTAAGTGCATTATGTCATGCAAAAATGAACTCTATAATGTTTTATTCTAAGGTAAATGACCTAACGGTTTTGCAGTATTGATCTGAATATTTTGAAATGATAAATAACGGATGGATATTGATTTTAGAACAGCTGCGGATGCTTATGTAAGGAATTGTGTTTATTTTTGTGGTAATTTGAAGATTTTGTGCGGTGGAAAGTTAAAGTAACAATATTTTTTGACAGATGAAAGAGACAGATAGATGGAAATTTCTGTCATAGGAATTTAAAAAGTATAATTTTATTTACGAAACATGTATTTAAATTTTGCAGCTCTTGTGAGATAGCAAACTATATTTCACCAAAGTGGCATTGGGGTTCGTTCACAAAAGTAAAGGTGCCGGTCGAGGTGGCCTGGAGGTTAATGCTGTTGGCTTTTCGTTCATGTATGAGGATTTAAAACCTGGCGAGCAACAATGTGATTTTTTCCGAGTTATATGTATTTTCAATTTTCTACGATTATTTAGACACCAATGACAATGCTCAAAGGTGTTTAATGCTTAAACCTTCTCCATATGAGAAGAGGCCTTTGGTCTTTTAATCATAGTCTATCTACAAATTCGCCAAAAACTTCATCAACCCCCTTACCTAGCGGGTCCGGAATAAGGATCAGCTCTTAGCATATCGGAGGCCTGCTGCAGCAGTGTGGCCGCTGTCTCGACGCGGTGCAGGGCGCCCGGCATGTCGTGTCTGAGGACAGCGTCTTCTGAAGACTCAATGGTTTCATGTCCCACCTGGAGAACCATTTTAAAGAGGAGTTTTAGATATTATTTACCTATATATACCTATGTTTAGTATTTTTTTCTTTGGAATTTAGTTTTTTACTTCACACTTTGCCGATGATCCTGAATCCTATATAGGAAGCATCATTTTATACTTCTTGCTAACCATATGACCGAGAAAGGATTACGATTAAGAAACATGGCTATTTTATGCTTGAATGTTTCCTTATTTATGTTATTCAGATATCCTTTCAATCAAAGAACTCTTATGAATAATTTCTGTGTAAGTACAATACTGACGGAACTATAAAGCTACATTAATATGGGAGAATAAGACTACTAAATTAATTAAAATAAATTGGTAACTTACGAGTTTTTTTCGAAAAATGCTCGACTAGATTCAAGTCATACCGAGACCCGTGTTTATAGGCAGCGTGACCGGTCTAAGGTCGCATAATGGACATAAGTGAGCCGTTTATTTGTGTGATTAGTTCTACTTACTTTGACGAGGTTGTTGACAGCGAGAGACACGGCTTGCACCGGCCTCGCCAGGTCTGGCATCGCGTTGCCATCTTCAGCTTCCTCGTGGAGGATCACCAGACGCGATACCTGAGGACAAAGGTGAAAACGTTTATTGAGGTAATTTATTTCATCATCATCATCATCAGTCGGAAAACGTCCACTGCTGGACAAAGGCCTCCTGGCCAAAGTAATTTATTTAATACAGGGATATTGCGTAGGCATATTGATAATATTGGGTCACTGTAAAAGTATCTACATTAAATAGCTTTTATAAAAAATATTAAAAATGTCAAAAAGTTAAAATCATTTACTATAATTCAAATAGACCATCATTAAAAAAAAAACATTGGCCCACGCTAGGATTTTCTCTCGTGTGCGCTTACAAACATACAATTTCACAAACACATGACACGCAGACCCGGAACAACAATTTGTAGATCACACAGAGAAATGTTCCGTGGGGAAAACGAACCAACCAACCAGATTTATTCATCATCATCATCATCATCAGCCTATAAGTGCCCACTGCTAAGCAAAGGTCTCTACTCATACGGAGAAGGTTAGAGCATTAATCACCACGCTTGCTCAATGCGGGTTGGCGATTTCAAGTTTATAATTAGAAATTATAAGTTCAGGTTTCCTCACGATGTTTACCTTCACCGTATGTCGGTGGTGTCTAAATAATAGCAGGCTCCTTAACCTCCGGCCCACCACATGTCGTAAAATGTAGATTTATTATAAGTTCAAATTTTAAAGACATCAAAATAAGGTAAAAAATTAAAAAAAAACAGTCTGTCAGTCAGCCCTCTTAGTGAAGCTATTTGCTTGTTCCAAAGTGTAGATTTCGATAGAAAAGAACGACCAAGATACTCCACGATTATGACGACTCTTTTATAATCAGTTCCAAGTCATAAATGTCGATAATGTAAAGTTTGAAACCTTTCCTTCCTTGCTTACTAAGCTAAATATCCAACTCACAACATTGTAAGACACCATGACATTTACCTTGCCGTCGGAAGCGCCATCAACAAGATAATGTCATTTCCACTAGCTCACTTGAAAGGGGGAAATTAGCATGTGATTGAACTTTACAACGACGTGTCGTCTGGACGAGGGGCCTAATAGATAGGTACTATTATACTAATCCTCGAACGTTCGTCACATGATGATAGCAAAGCTATAAGTACATTATCACTCTTTCCGAACGTGACAAGTGAATTTATATTTGAAAAAGACCGGCCAACGCTAAGCTTTTAGTGCGGGAGAGACATGCTTTGGCAAGAATGTGTCGTCTCGATCGGAGTTATACAATGGCCTCATATAAAACCGGCGTGAAACCACAGCTTTGTGTTTCGAGTGAGTAAGGTAACTAGAGGTCCAATACGAGAAGTATTGGACCTCCCAAATCCCTAAATCCCCAAATTCGGCAACGCACTGGTAACTAATCTGTTGGGCGGCGCTGATTACTTACCATCCGCAGGTCTTTTACCATCCTATCACATTAAAAAAAAAACAAAAACAAAACCCTAACCAACAAGGTTCAAATTCAAATAACATGAAAAGAGTGAGACTGCAGCTTTTAAACAGTTTTTTAGAATATTCTCAGTAAGTTTGGAACAAATATTTGTAGAACCTAGTTTCTTATCAGAATTCTTATGTAATAAGACCTAATGAAGTCGCACAAAAATATTCGTTATCACAAGACTAACAGGAGCTTTACCATGTTAGTATTGTTTACATAATATTAGTATATTAGTTACATTATAAAGTACTTTTAGACAATTGTGACAGAATCGCTAACAAATATAGATTAATGTGGTCAAAGTGAGAAACTCTCTATTTTGGGGTTCCGTGGCCAAAAGACAAAAAATCTGAACACTTAGTCCCGGTGCTTCACTCTCTGATAAAAGCTTGTTTTAAAAATGTTTTTAATTTTTTACGTCTGTTGAGATGGCTAAAGGTTAAGCCGAAGGAGGCAGGAAGGTATTTCATTATTTGTTACGACTAACAACGTACGCATAGAATGTCATAATGCACTTACAAAGACATTATTATCTCTAGAATGCGCCGGTACAACGGCCCCTGTTGTATCCAAGTGAAAGTTTAAGATAAGCTTGTGCCTGTATTGTTTGCTCTCGAAGTTTCTGCGATTATGAACGTAACGTTGTTATTGTTTGGATTAACGAAATGTCTCTCATTTTGATAATAATAGCAGAATTGGAAACCTCTTCTGCTTCTTATTTTGATGTACTACAAGTTCGTAATATAAGAAGAAGAAGAGTGAAGAGCGGCAAAGGACCAGACAGATTACCCGATAGTTAGCAATTGGAGCCGCCTATGGCCAACCTTATATTAGTGGCAATTGCGTTGCTCATTGTTTCTCTTGAGGATTATTGATTGTTTGGGAGAGACGGAGTTATTGGTCCTCCAGTAACCATTCACTCTCACTCACAAGGCGTGCATTGTTTTCGGCGGTAACCTTTGAAGCCGTCATATCAATCTGGTCAAGTAATTCGTGCCTAAGCTCTCTAGCATTGAAATCTATCCGTACTATCCTATTTTAAAACTCCTAGCACGTATAATGTAATAATACTAACACCACCATAAATTCAAAACCGTCTAATGATATTGCATTAATTATTAATCAAATTCGACCTACAAAAAGCACGTGACTAGCAACAATAAATCCTCTAATAACCTTAAATCCAGTAAGGTATGCGCAAGAGCAGATAAGTGTTCGCCATATTTGGTGCGCGTACGCAACCCGGCCGACCAACGCGCATTCATTCATAGTTTTTGTACGAGTACCTGGCATAGTAAGTACGGCACAAGTATTATATATTCCTTTTTATAAGCTTTCGATTTTAATCTTGATGTGTATCTGTTACGTGTTGAGTTTAAATGGTAACGGCGTTTCGAAGATACACACATACATATATCTTGATAATTGTAGAGTAAGTTTAGCAGTATAGAAATGTCCTACTAATTATTTTTTTTTAATACTTTGCCCAACACTGTGATTTTCTCCTATGTCGTGGGTGCGTTTACAAACACACAATTTCACATACACATCACACCCAGACCCGGAACAACAATTTGTGGATCACACAAAGAGTTGTCCCTACTGAATAAGATTTTATTGACAAATATGTAAAGATCAAATAAGACTCATTTTAATCCGATTAGCATACGACAATCTGAGTACGCTAGCAATATAATATTTATATGACCAAAAAGGATACACATTTTACATGAGAAAAAGAATACCTAATCCAACTGCCTCTTTATAATAACACAAAGAACAATTAGCAGACAATCATCAAATCAAACGACAAAAGATTAAATTAAAACTCCCAATCCAAATCACTATAAGCATAGTACTAAGTGCTAACACATAGATAACCTAAAACTTTTTCATCGTAAAACGTAACAAATAATATCACTTTTGAAAGTCCTTTATCGCTTTAAAAACAAAAATGTTTCGGAAGTCTTTACCTTGTATCGCAACCAATCTAAACATTAGACCTCAATTTTCAAAATCTCAATCTGCTAAGCAATAATACATGCTTATCCAACAAACGACAAAATACATTCGAAAAAATACATTCACAATTTTTAGGCCGCTATCCCACTGAGCGTTGACGTCCTCGTCGCGTTTGCTCAGCGTCGACGCCGCCGCCGTGTGGCAAGCATAAACGTTCGCTGAACGCGACGGCGACGTTAACGTCGAGTTTGTTGGCAGCAAGTGCATGTCAAAAACTACATTTCATAGAGCAGAACGGCGGGAATGTACATCTTTGGTACAATCCCGTTGCGCAGACGCGACGTTGACATCGCGTTTAGCGAACACACGCGACAAGGCGGCGTTAACGTCCCGTCAGCGCGGTGTCGACGCTGAGCAAACGCGATGTTGACATCAACGCTAGCAAAATGTCTAGTGGGATACCGGCCTTAGTATTTCGTGACTTTTACAAATCACCCCTTCGCAATCTCCCCCACCTGGGGTGTGGTTGAAAGGGCGCGGTATTTGGACCTGATGGGACCTTGGAACTGATTGTGTTTGTCCAAGATGATTATGGACGGAACTAAATGTCTGCTGATATTGGGAGAGGGTCGTTTCGCGTGGGGTAGTGGTTGTGAGTTGAGGGTCGAAATTTGATTGTGAATGGTGCTGAAGTTGATGTTAATGTTATAAGGATGTCTTCATAGTTAAGGAACTAAATAGAAGTATGTGTTTAAGTGCCAAATGCTACCTTCTGTCTGAGGGGTTCTGATATTATAGCCATCGAATGATAAAATGCCACTGCCCTGTGTATGCTGATTGCTAAGTATGTGCTAGAAAATACGAAAAACCTGCGACTTAGTCCGCGCTGCCTGGATAAAAACTAGATTTTATCTATACTAATATTATAAAGAGGTATAGATTGTAAGTATTTATGTAGGGGGTAATCTTTGGAACAGCAGGTCGGATTGCCAAAATTCTTTCACTAATATTAGTATCGATAATAATCTATCTGAGTGCTAAATTTCATTCAGATCCAGTCCTTAGATTTTACGCAAAAGAACAAACTAACAAACATTTACCCATACAAACTGGCGTTTATAATATTAGTAGTATCATTTCATTGCCTAATTACAACTACAGAAATTAACGTAAACAAATAAAAAAAACATTACAATCTGTCCGTCTGCTAACCATTTGAATTACAGTATTAGAGTCGATTAAAGTTGGGCTTATTCACCAAATTTCTTAATAAATGTTTACAGCCACAAAAAAAAATCTTCCCGAGAGTCACAAATTAAGAATTATGTCTCATACGAGGAAAATAAACAAACTGGCAACATTTTGTACCTAAATATTCCCAGAACGGGTTTCGGATATAAGTAGTTGTAGTATAGTACATTGACGGCGAGCCACTGGGTCAAGGTAAGGCTCAGATGTAACTAAGTACATAGATTCTGCTCTTGGTTTCAGTCTGAGATTGGTAGGTAAAATGGAACGGGTATTTGGAACATATTTTGCTGTATACCTACATCAAAAATTTCTAATCTATCCGTCATTTTTGTAAATGCTGACAGTGTCTTGCAGTCAAAATAGTTTCCAGTTAAAAAAAGGATTGAAGCTTTTCTTGCAGTGCATTTTTCTTTTTTTGTAGCTCTCCAATAGCTACGTTTTCATAAATGTTATGCTGGTTAATCGACGCCAATAACACTGAATGCAAATTGTCTCCGTAAGACCACCCACGCGAATTTATATGGCAAATAATAAAATCTAAGTTTGAGAGGTGTCGTAATATTATCTCTTAGAGTCCACGGCCACTAGCACGCGTGGGATGCGACCATATGGTGAGTGTACAGCTCAACTATTATAAACTATACTGGTTAAACACTTCACGCCAATTTTCACTTATTGATTGTGCACAACTTGGGACTCCTCTCGATTTCTCGGCACGCTGCCAATTTGTGTTTTAAAATGTTGCGCTTTGGCTTCAAATGGGGAATAGTGTCAAATTTATTTATTAGTTCTTTTATAATCGGACATGATAGTGAAGTGGCCGCTTGGAAGAGGTGACGAAATCGGTTGTATATATTTGTTCTTTGCATGAGACTGTTTTGAGACTTACAGGAAAAACATTTATTTCTTTTACCTTCCTATGTCACAGTATTGGCGAAAGAATACAAGGTTACAATTGCACTGCATACGACATTTCGAAATCCAACCTTACTTCTGGGATTAGGTATCCCAGAAATAAAGAACTTTCAAATAACTACAGTTATGTGATTTGAAATCGTCTAGGTCTAGTTTTGCCATATTGAAAAGCACCCTAAATGCATACCCTACTTTCCGACTCAACGAATCCAAATATCAGGGCGGATTATCGACCTTATAAAACGTCTGACATTTAATACCAAAGTACTTACTTACCCGATATTTCATATCGTGATAAAGAAAAATAAATGTTCTTGAAAGAAACGTTTATACGTATTGATATTCATCTCATAACAAAACAAAGGAAGCTGTGTAATCTAAAAATATGTATTCTGTCGAACAAATGTTTATGATATCTTTCAGTGATGGTTTTAAAGTATTATACATAATACGAGTAGTAAAATTTTGTTCCTACGTGGGTTCGGCCTCGAAAATATTGGTGATTGGTCAACCTACGATCAATAGAAAGATGTGCTGCAGGCGGATTTGGTGGAACTTCGAGTTAGTCGATGACGAGAACTTCCAAAAGTTGGTAGAGGTGTCGTAGAATCGTATCGGTCAACATCCATTTTTGGGTTTCTGGTTTCTTAGGAAATGGTGTATAGAACAAGGTATTTGAAAAAAAAATCGCTGTTTATCTCTATGTTGAAGTGGGTTACAATTAGAAAGTACAAATAATACGCAGTCCAAGTCTTGAAATCGTGTAGTTTTAACATCGAGTACATACCTATAATTGGTTACAGTTTTGGCTTAATATTATTAACCTAACGAATAAAATTCCTTGCTAAAGGCCCTAAAGGTTTTCAGTTCATTTAATGAAAATACTACCTACGAATTTAGAAGACGCCACTGCTTAACGTACGCTCTTCATGTGGCCTTGTCAGAATACTCCTTACTCATATTTTGCAAGGGGCAGGGTATCGCAGTCACTGTCAAAAATCGAGAAAACAACTGCCTGTCGCATTTTACATTGGGTTAAGCATAGTTTTACGTTATAAATAAAACCAAAGTTTAAAACAAAATTCGTTTAAATAATAGGCATTTTTCCTCGCTAAAGCTAGATTAAGAATTTCTGAAGATTTTACAAACAACTCAAACGTATAACGAAAAATAAAAATGCATGATTAGAAACTGGCCTTATCCATAAAAATTAGTTGAACTTTGTCAAACATTTTATTTCTATCAAACCTTTCATTAGAGCTATTAAATACTTAATTACTATTAATTGGCAACAATCAAACAATACATAAGTCACCATTTTAGTTAATACGGTATTAAAAACGGCCAAAGTTACAAAGCAAGAGATTTGTAAACTAAACCAATTAATCAGGTCGCAGTACGAAGTGGTTTACCGCATTATATTTGTAACATTTATTTATAGACCTATGTATATTATTTAACCCACTTTTAATAAGAGTGCATGGATAAACAAATCTCATCTTCACGCATTTGTTTGTATAAATTATTTGACTATATACCTATAATCACACACATCCTAGCTACGCATGTTACAAAAAAAAGCCATGAGTATAAATGATGAATATAAATGTGGAGGGATGGAGAGGGAGAGGGAGACCAAAGAAAATATGGATAGATTGTGTGAGAAGTGATATAGAAGACAGAGGAGTTAGTGATAGCGTGACGGGTGACAGGACAGAATGGAAGAAAAAAACATATTGCGCCCACCCCAAATAAAACGGAACAAGGGCAGGAAGATGATGTGTGTGATTATAACTAGAAAATCTTTAGAAACCATTCTTAACGTATCTTTAGGTAGTAATGATACCTACCTATTTTTTTAAAAATTGTATCAAACTTTGGTTTTTAATACCGTAAAGTTTAGCCTATTTTCACCAAGCCGGAAAATCCTCATGGAACCCCTTCGCCTGGGGAGACGAAAGGGACTGTCAGACTTTTACTGACTAAAAACCAACCTTGGTGTTCCGTCTCTGACGTGGGCATGAGGGTGCGGGAATCAAATTCATCCGCGGCAGCTCAAACTAACATACTACAGGCAGTTGTTTTCCTAATTTTTGTCTGTGATACACCCTGCCTGCTGTGAGTAAGCGCATATTGTGACAAGGTCATAGGGAAAGCTTTTGTTTAGCAGTCGCGTCTTGCAAATACGGAGGTAGAATTTCCATTAAAATGAACTCAAAACCTTTAGGATCTTTAGCAATGTAAACTGTAACCATTCACACTCTATGTAAAAGCCGATGAGTTTGTATTAAATATTGTCTCAAAATGAAAATCGTCTACTAAAGATACCTATGAAAGAACAAGAGCCATTATTGTTATTATCATTATGGTCATAACGGAACCAACTAACTATACCAATAAATAATAATGATTCAGTAGTATTATTTTAATTCGGCCAACATTTTTCTCTAATCAAACTAAATAATAATTTAGCTGTCTGAATCGACTGAACTTTTTACGGAGCTTTAGCTTAAATGATGACATACAACTTTCTTTCTTTTTTTAACTTAAAATATTGCTTAAAGCACAAAAGTTACACAGTTAACACACACAAACAACAGTTTTAATACTTATACATGTATCCACCATTTATGGAGTACAAAACCGAAATAGCAGTATAAAATAAATCGCACAGAAACGTCCGACTATTTTCGATCTCAGCTGAACAAGGGCTCTGTTTAAGTTCGAAAGTAGTCGGACATACCGTAGCTCAACAGCGTAAGTAATCTGCATCGACCATTATCTAACTGAGTAACTTTTCAAATACTCATGATACCAATAGGAATGTATATCCTGCTACATAAAAGCCTCACGCACTCAATTTCCGAGTTCAACCCCCGAGTCGGAAACGTATTATAGGAGCTTTATCGATTTAGAAATTCTCAACATCTAGTGCCTACCACGACGTTAGAATATTATTATGTTGGAAAATCCACTGATTCTTATTACAGCGTCGATCAAACTTTTGAAAATCGAAGGTTCGATTGCAATCGACATGTTTATGACGTCCGGCGCTCTGATTGGCCATCTTCAAGTTTGTTAACCAATCAGAGGGCTTTTGGGAATGAGTGATTTCGAGATTTATATTAGGGGAGGATTATATTAAGATATTTCTGTCAAAAAGTATCATAAGATGTCATGGTTTGACGTCAAATAGCGTATTTATTTCTGAGAACATACCTAGCTAGAACAAATCTTAAACTATGTATAATAATATAGTCAAATCAATGAATGTATTTTCATAGTTTATTGTATTGAAAAGTGAATAGTTTTTGACCCAGGTATGATTAATTAGCCATTGAAGAACTAATCAATTCATTATTATCTATTATTATGTAATGAATATCTGAAGAACTAATTAGAACATCAGTAGGCAAAATTTCATACTTATAGCGAAACAGTCACCCATACATCTATAGTTTTATTAGCTCATCGATCACGATTTTA